CTTGTTTCTGTGTTGTTTGCTTTTAGATCAGTGATGCTGAGTTAGAGGAAGTGGTCAAAATGGGCGTGGCCAGCGAGGTCGCTCGCCAAGCGGCCGAGGAGAGCGAAGGCGGTAACTCGGCCTCCTCCGCCCTGCTGTCAGAGTACAGCGTCACAAACAACATGACCGCAGGGCTTCGGACTCCGCGGACCCCTGCTGCCCAGGACAGGATCCTGCAGGTGACTAATCAGCTTCTAAGGTGTCTGAGGGACAGACTTAGATTGGAGCATAGCTTCCCGATTCTTCAGCTCCTCTTCTTCACTGGATGCTGAAGAACGGCCACATGTCTGACTTTTCTGAGCCAGATTTCTGAAATCCGCCTCTGGTCTTTAATCTGTATTTGTCTGTTGCTATAGAAATCATCCGCTAATAATAAGGACTGATGAATAAAAGCCAAATTAGAATAATATTCCTCGACATCGGTGATTGTTGGTGGTAAAATGTAAAATTTGAAATTTTATAAATTTTTATCTGTAATGTTTAAGTCATTCCAAAAAAGGTTGAAAAAACAATCCATTGTCCTTTGTTTCTAAGTCTAAAGACTTTTGCTTCCCATCCATGAAGCTTCTTCTATTCCAAATGTTCCGAAATGGCGTTGAGTTCAAAGCTTTACACAGTAGCCCAAAGTAGGTGGATTGAGAGGAATGTGAAGAAAGCCATCCATGTTAAGAAAAGAAAAACCCACCTTAAGGCCTGGTTATCCTCCTGCTGCAGTGTGTCGCAATTATTTTTGATTTATGCCCAATAGTGAAGCGTGGTCTGCGCTATGTTATTCCACGGCACAACGCAAGAGGGATAATCAGGAACTAGCTGTGGGTCTAGATACGACTGAGCTGGTGAGGAAGTGGGGGCAAGTTTGTGCGACAACGGAGGGACATAAGAGCGAAAAAGAGCGGGGATCCAGGTGGAAAAATGGTCCGAGCGTTCTTGCGCACCTCACTCTTCTAGCTGGTCCATTTTCACGAGTCATTTTCCACAATGGTGGTCATACAAACAAGACAAGCCGCTAAGGTACCAGACAGGAAATACGCATAGTGTAGCAATTGAGTTGATTCCTTCCCGCTATCATTGTAACCCCACCCCGTTACAGGGGAACAGAAGACCTCACCTACTCAGCCAGGCCAACAATTTCCTTTAAGACCCGCCTTTCAGAGACATAGACAGGTATGGGACATTGCAGGCTAAAAGATCCCCATTCCAAAAGGGTGGACCCGTTCGTCTGTTTCAGTTTGCTTTTTTTTTTTTTTAACAAAAACAAGGCATTATTGGGCTACTTTATAAAGTCTGGAACTCCACACTATTTCTGACATTTTGAATTGAGAAAGCTTCCTGGATGGGAAGAGAAACGTCTTCAAACTTGAAAACAAAGTCCAGTGGATTGTTTTTAACTTTTTTTGAATGACTATGACCTAGATGACAGGGAATCTTCACCAGCACAATGTGTGAGTCCTTTGCTTTTGAACCTTTTTATTTTGATGAAATCTAGCAGTGTTTAATGGATGTAACACAAATATGAAGGAAAGTATAGATTTATTAATTATAGCTGATCCGATGAATCGTTTTAGTTGTTTTGGGGTTTTTTTTATCACATAATGCAGATTCCTAGTAAACCCAGAGTGTTTTCCCTTTCAGGAAGCCCAAAACCTGATGGCTCTGACCAACATCGACACGCCCCTGAAAGGAGGCCTCAACACCCCGCTGCACGAGAGCGACTTCAGCGGTGTGACGCCTCAGCGGCAGCAGGTTCAGACCCCGAACACGGTGCTCAGCACACCATTCAGGTGAGACCCGGTGATCCCAGATGCTTTCCTAAAGTCCTTCTCCCAAATTAAACTGAACAACAAAAAGGATAAAGATGAAGAATCCTTTTATGTTTTAAGGCAAACGAATGAATATTTATACTCTAAGCAGTGGAGCCAGGAGTCCTTCTAGAGGTCAACTAATACCAATTATTTTCTCGTTAGTCTAATCCGGCTGGGCTGATTATTGAAGCCGACTGTTGCTTCGTCGTCCTCCCTTTACATGTTAAAACGATAATAAATACCTGTAGTCTTACTCTAAATAAATGAAATTAAAAAAAGTTAGTGATGGACAATAGAAGAAGGGAGCATCACGGAATGGGTTTCTGAGCCAAATTCACATATCAGCTTATATCAGCCGTCTGATGTATCGGCCTCTCTGAGGTCAGGAGCTGAACATTTTCGACACGATCACTGAGTCTGGGAGCGGCCATTTTGCCCAAATATAGTATCGCCTCTGCTCTGGA